GGAGCGAAAGGGGCACGTGTGGGTGTGGGCGCTGTGCTAGCAGGGGCGGGGGAGTCCGACGGCCGGGGCTGGATGACCGGGTGAAGGAAAAGCAAGCCCCGATGCCGCTTTTGAAATTTAGTCGACATGATCGCGCCCCAGGCCAACTTCCAATGCTTGGTCGGGGGAGCGTTGCGATCGGCCGAGATGGTGGTCGGTCGTCGGGGCCTTCGGGCGCCACAGTGGCCCACGGCTAAGGTCTTCCTCCCAGCCGGACAGCCATCCTCCTCCATTTCATTTTTTCTCCCTCCCTCTCTCTCTCTCTCTCTGTCCCCCCTCTTCCCCTCTTAAGGGCCTCTCTCTCCCTTTGCGCGATGCTGTCCCGGGCGCGCCCCCTTCGTGGGTTGCCGTCTCCGGTGATGCCGGCGCCAGTGGCTTCCTCAGCCGCCGGCCGGGGTCTCCGTGCACTGGCGGTTGGACGCTTCTCCTCGGGCTCCGGCCCTGGTCGGCCAGCGGCCCCTCCACCACAGCCGTCCTCCTCGACGTCATCCTCACCACCTCATCCGACATCAGCTGGGCCGCCTCCTCCGGGACCTCCCCCTCCGGGACCACCCCCTCCGGGACCACCCCCTCCAGGACCGCCCCCTCCAGGGCATCCGTACTGGTTCCAATTTGCGATGCCGCCCGGGGGCCCGCCGCCCCCCCCACCCCCTGGTGCTGGCCCCTACTTCCCGCGGCCTGTGGGATTCCTTTCCCCGGAGGGGTTTGCTCAATTGCCGGGGTCGCCGCCGGGCCGGCTTCCGCTATCGCCTCCGCCGCCGCCGCCGCCGCCGCCGCCGCCGCCCCCAGGCTACTATGCTTATGCGTACCCCCCGCCAGGATCGATCCCGGGGCCGCTGCCGGGACCACCACATCAACGCCCACTCCCCCCAGGCTCCTTCCCCCCGGGGTTCCATTTTGGCGAGTGCGTATTCCACCTTTGCACCCTTTCCTGCTCCTCGTCTTTCTTACCTCCCTCACTTTCCGTCTCAGTCCCATGGCCGCCGGCCCACATGGCGGTTCTGCCGCAGGCGCTCTCCACTCTATCCACCCGGCGGCAATGGCAGCCGCCCGGCCGGTGACCCCTCCCCCATCCCCGCCCTCGGCGCCACCGGCACCCTCACAGCCGGCACCACCATCGTCCGGGCCTGCCAAGCAGGCTGCTTCTCGACCGGCAGCCGGCACAGTCACGGACTCCGGCATTTCCGCCGGGCCGCGACGCCCGACATCCTCCACGCCTGCCGCGCCTGCCAAGACTGCATCCCCCACATTGGCCAGTCGCTTCGGGCATTACATCGACACTTTCAAGGCTGTGCAGCAGCTCCGCGCACAGGGGGCCTTCCCCGGGCAGACCTCAAAAGCCCAGCCAGCCCCGTTGGCTCGGCCGGCTGGCGGCCGTGACACGGAGGCCCCGCCATCGGCGGTTGCCCCGGTAGATCCAGCAGTTGCCGAGCCTGGTCCCGGGGATGCCCCAAGTTCCGTGCCTTCGGCCGGCCCGGCGGCCACCCCGGTGAGCTCGGCCGCGCCCCCGCTTGCGGCGGCACCCACGTCGGTGGGCTCCATGGCACCTCCGACGGCCGCCCCGCTCCCCCCGCGCAGCGATGTCCAAAGTGCCGCTCTGGCCGAGGCGCTGGCCCGCGCAGTCGAAAGTTCTGTCCGCTCGCATTATGAGCACTGCATGCGCACCTTCCTTCCAACGTCGGAATACGAGCTGGTGCGTCGGGCCATTCTGGCTGGCCTTTCTCTTTGCCTGTGCTCTCGGGTTTTTTTTTTCCCCCTTGTCATCTGCCCAACGGCTAACCGTCCTCCGGGGACAGTGGCGCACCGAGACGATGGCCGCCTCGAGGCGGACCCTGCGCAACCCGGCAACGCATCCGCAGCCGGCCACCCGGCTGGCGGCGCTGAAGTTGGCTCTCGGCCGGCGAATTGTCGACGCCACCGCTCTGCCGGCCATCACGCGCGAGAGCCTTGCTCGCGTTCGATCCCGGCATGATTTCGCCATCATCCGGCAGCGTCTCTTTATCAACGGCCTTGTGCGAAACATCGTCCTTGACATCCGTGAAACGCAGCAAAAGTTAGAGATCAACATTGCCGAGAACCAGACTCGCCTTGAGCAAAACAAGACGGCCATCCTCTTCATCATCTACAGTACGTCCACCGGCCTGCCCCCCCCCCCCCCCCACCACAACAGCGCGCCTGTTGATGCCTCCCTCTTTCGACACCCTCTTCGGCCGTCCCATCTTTTATCATTGACACCCCTGGCGTGATGGGCCCCAGCCTTCGGCCTGACTCTTGTCGGCCTTGCCATCTTGACCCATGTGCTTGGGCTCTGGGGCGGCGAGGAGGAGCCCGACAAGGATGCTGCCAAGCGCAGCAAGGCCGACGAAGTCGAGGGGTACTGGCAAATCTACAAGGAAATCCAGCTCCGGCAGCATCAGCTCTCCCAGCAGCTTGCACATCAGGATGAGGCGGATCCTGGCCTCAATGAGATCCCCCTTCGGTGAGGATAGATCCACCAACTAGACAATGCGCCTCGCTCCCGCTCTCAGGTTTGACACAGGCAGCTCAGTTGCCCCGTGGGCGGTGGAGAAGGTACAGTGTGTATTGGGCAGTGGGGCGTGGAAATTCGAGTGGGATGCTGTTCCCTGGAAAGGCAGGAGGAAATAGGGGGGGGAGGGGGGGAGGGGGAGAGTGGGGGCAGCTAGCCGGCCGCTCGGAGGGGTACCAGTCGCCGTGCACGCACGCACATACTCAGAAGTCCTCCCAGCTGCTTTCTACCGTGGCACGGACCCGCTGGTTATAGGAGCGGATGTCTTCCCGATAGAGAGTGGCTGCCTGGGGGTTGGCCGGACTGTTGGGGTTTGGATCGTGGAGCAAGGACTGGGCCATTCGGAGGAGGGACATGGGCACCGGCCGTCCGGGGGATGTTAGAAGGGGAAGGAATGGGCGAGGAGAAGCCCGCAGAGTCTTCTGGCTGGAGGGCGGCGCGAGGAGGGCATACCTGAATACTGGTGAGGATGGCAGATACATCGTATGTCGGACTCCAGCGATTTTGTAGGATATCCAGGCACAGGTGGCCATCAGCGTATACTGCATGCACGTGTGTGTGTGTGTGTGTGTGTGTGTGTGCGCGCACATGGGGAGGAAGAGGTTAGCAGGTGGTTGGGAGGGGAGGGGAAGGGGCGATGCAAAAGCAGCCACCAGGGGGGCCCAAAGGATGTAAGCACCATTTGGATGGAACATTTGTGAAACAAACTTCACCACAGGCGGCTTGTTCGGATAATCTTCGCTGAACTGCATGGACAATTTGAAGGTGCCTGACGAACGAAAGACGGCGGTGGGGGCGTGGAGTGTGAGGGACGCGAATGGGCCAAGTAAAGGTGGGGGAGCGGAGGCGAAGAGGGGAGCAGTGTAAAAAGGATGGGGAGACCGGCGAAAGAGCCATCGGCCGGCTTTTGTGCGCGTGTACCATCCTCAAAGGGAGTGCTCTCCGGACTGGACAATCGAGAGGGAGGGAAGGAAAAGGCGCGGCGAGGGGGGGGGGGGGGGGGGGCAGGACAGGTCAGCAAAGGGAAGAAGCATGGACGGGTGTGTTCCCACGCGTCCAGAGGTGTGCAGCGGGGACGAAGAGCGCATACCCGAGGATGACAGCATTCCAAAGCATGATATTCTCCTCGCCCGGGGCACCGCTGATGCCCAAAGGTGGGTCGTCCTGGAGACTGGATGGGGCGGTTGTGTTGCGTGTGAGAATCGGAAAGGCACCAGCAGAAGGCGGCGAACACAGGAGGTCAAGCCAAGAGGAGCCTCAGTCCGCGGGCAGGCGCCCGCCCTTTTGGCCTCCGAGGCCTGGAGAGGGAGAGGGTGAGGATGGGCGGCAATCGGCGCACCGTTTGAAATCACGAATCAGACGCCTGCGCGCAGGGGTAGACATTCTGAAGGCAAAGCGACGGCGAAATCGACCAGATAGATCAGAGAAAGGGACCGAGCGAGATGGCAGGAGGGAGACGTGGAGGAAAGGGAGAGATCTGCCCCGCTCCTCACGGAGCTCCGGTCTCCCCTTGTCGGTTCCTTTTTAGCCCCCCCCCCCCCCCCCCGTCTTTCGAACGGAAAAGACCAGCCAACCCGGGGATCTTGCGCACCCTGGAACTTGCTCGCTGGGTTCTCCAGACCGGCACTTTGGGTGCGGCTGTCCCAGATCTGCTGACCGCTCTCTGGAGATCACGCGCGCAGCTGACCACCTAGAGAACACCTAGCCCACAGTAGTGGTCGTCCCGCCGCCTGTGTCGCCGTTCCCTGGACCCCTGCTCCCCGCCCGCCCGCCCGCCCGCCCCCCCCCCGGGCGCGTCACCATGTCGCAGCCATGGGGCCGGGGTCCCCCCTGCCTACATGGCGACACAAAGGGCCGCGCGCGGCCACACACACTCTCGGGACTATTGCCAGCGCGGTCGGGCTTGTTTTAATGTTTTTTTTTCTCATCCTTTCTGTGGAACACCGACCCCCTGCGCCAGCCTGTGCCTCCCCCCCCCCCCCCCCCAGGTGAAGCCTGGCCATCGGCGCCGAATACCGTGGATGCTGCCCGAAGGCAGGCGGTAATGCGAGTGAGCCGGGGCAGTGACCGGCTGAGAGGCCCCTGGCACATCAAGCGGCGTGCTCTCCGGCTCCCCCGGCAGCCGGGCTGTCAGCCGCACTCCCTCTTGGGCGCGCTTTCTCTTCGTGCGGCCCGCCTTGCCCCCCCCCCGCCGCCGGTGCAAAGAGAGGCATTGATGAGCTTTTGTGTATTTCATGGTCCCCGAGCAGGCGTGAATTGCCGGGTGTATTTTTCTCTTGCCCATACTGCATGGGCCTCAGAGCTGAGGACGCCCCCGATCAGCAGCGCCGGCCGTTGGCTCTCCCCAGGGTGCCATGGCGCGACCCGCCGCCGATGCCGCCGCCGGTGCTGGTAATGGGCGTGGTCACCGGCGTGGTGGCCGTATGCGAGGCAAAGAAGAGCATGCGCTCACGGAAGCTGAGCTGGTCAGGGTCCACCTTCTGGCGATCCAGCACCGAGGTGAGGTCCTCGTCGGCGGCGCTGCCGCACCCCTGCCCGGACCCGAGGGGGGGCGAGGACTCCTGGGCGCGAAGCGGCGAGGTCCGAATCGAGAGGCGCGGCACATCCGGGTTCGCGCCCCCGGCAAGGGACTTCGGCCGAGCCGACACAGCCGGCGAGGCTTCCTCCATCGCGCCGGCCCCTTCGGGTCCGCCATCTGCCGTGGTGGGCGCGGCGAGGAAGGCCGCCTCGATCCGGTCGGCTTCGGCAAGGAGCTCGGCCGTGGCCGGGTCCGGCTGGCCAAACGGCTCGCCACCACCATCCCCCAACTGTGGCTGGGCTCGGTCCGAAGGTAGGTCCGCTCCCGAGGCCGTCAGGGCCCGGTCGTGGACCTCCAATGGGGAGTCCGCCCGATCGATGGAAGCCGGTGAGGCCAAGATGCCGACACCACTCGAATCCACAGTCACAGCGCATGGGTCTGCGCCGTGGCTCGCGGGGCTGGCCGGCTGCTCGGCAATCGACAGCGGCTGCTCGGCAATCAACAGCGGCTCCGCGGCAATCGACAGCGGCTCCGCGGCAATCGACAGCGGCTCCGCGGCAATCAACAGAAGCTCCTCGGCCTGGGGAGTGGGCTTCTCACCGGCGTCCACCTGCCGGTGATCCTCGGTATTGGAGCCGTCAAGGTCGGCCCCCCCGGGCACCGCACTCGGGGCCGGCACGCGGTCAGTCGGAGACACGTGCTCCACGTCCGCGACATTCGGAGAGTCCACCGGAAGCTCGACCGTCAGCTCGGCCGAGTCGGCCTCATCCACAAGATCGTCCGCCAGCGTGGCCGAGTTAGCCGGGGTTCCGGCATTGGGCGTCCCCTCGATGGCCGGTGCCGCCACATTGGAGGAAAGCGTCTCGGTGGGCGTCTCGAGGAAGCTCGGGTCGTAGGTGTCCTCGGGGGGGACGGTCTGCAGGAAATCCGCCCCGTCGGCCGGGCTGTCGAGGGACGACCGGAAGTCCACCGAGCGGCTCATGCGCGTGTAGCTGGTGTTGACGAGGAAGCCGCTGGCCTCGGCCACGGTGGCGGGGGCTCCTGGCAGGCGGAAGTGCCCGGCCGGGGCCTGGTCCCCAGGGGTCGACCCGAGGGCCGGCGACTGTCCGGGCGTCAGGGTCCCGGTGAATGCCTGCATCTCGCCCGGCGGGGCGTATGGCAGGGAGGTGGCACTGCCAGCCCCGCACATGGCCGGGCTAGAGCAGGTCGAGTCGGGCACACGCGAGTGGGTCGTCTGGTTCAGGTGGCTGCCGAGCGGGCGGTTAGTACCGGGACGTCATGGCTGGCACCTGGGGCCAGGGGTGGGCGGCACAATGGCCGTGCCAGCCCAGTTGTCGACACAGGCGGGCGTGTGCACACCCAGATGGGGGGGGGAGTCTGGAAAAGGGGGCAACGCACTTGATGAAATACTGGCGTCCGGTTTGGGCATCGACCAGGCGCTCCCAGCCAAGGGGCAGGCCATCCGGGCCTGCATCGACGGGCAGGGGGGCAGAAGGGCCACCGGGATGGTCAGTGCACAATAGGCCCCGGCGGGAGCGGCTCCCGGGCCGGCCGCACAAACTCCCCAAGCGTGGCTGCATGGCGGCGTACCTCGGTAAGTTTCCGGGTCGACAAGCCCCTTGCTGATGGCAATCGGAATGCGAGGATCCAGCCAGGAAGTTCGCTTGCGCTTGTGACTTTGGGGGGCCGTTCGTGGGAGGAGCGTTAGACATGACTGGCCCGGCTCCGAGGGGGGTTCCACTCCGGCGAGCCGATGCCCGAGTCCGGGGATGTAGCGCACTCTAGGAAAACCACACGGGTTAGGACCCCCTCGCGCACGGTGCGCGCAGTCCAGCCAGATGGCAGAGGCCCCAGGATGTCGGATTTCGGCGAAGGGGGCGGAAGCCGCTCCACGGCGGCCGAAGCCAAGATCCGATCAATCGAGGACGCCGAGCGGGGCATTCTCTCCGGCGCGAGCGCAAAAGGCAGGTGGAGGGGGAAGGGGCCAAGGTAAATGGAGAAGAAGGGGGGGCGGGCGTGGAAATCGGTGTTGGGGCGCGAGAAGGATCTCCTCTCGACTTGGCTGCCTTATATTGCGCGCCTTTGCCGGTCGCGCCCTCCCTCCCCCCGCCCCCCCCTCCCACACCCGCAGGTGTCTCAGAGGGCCATCCGTGTTGTTGGGCGGCCCGCTAACGAGACACACTGAGCCAAGACCCGGACTCGGTCGCCGGCATCCAACCGCGTCCCAGTATGCCGTGCGTGTCAATTAATCGCCCGGTCACATCTTGAGCCCTACCCTTGGGTGACCCGTGGTCCAGCGTGTCCAGTGGTTACTGGCCAAAATATCGGTGTGTGTGTGTGTGTGTGTGTGTGTGTGTGTGTGTGTGTGTGCGTGTGTCTGCATCAGAGTGCGTGTTGCTTTCGTGCATGTATCTAAGAGCATGTATACGTGTGTGTGTGTGTGTGTGTATACGCGCGTGACTGAAGGCCGGGGAGCATGGGAGCAGAGGCAGCTGCATGGACGCGAGCCCCCACATGTGGCCCCTGGCATGGGCCGAGTGATAAAACGCCCACCGCAGGTGCCGCAAACCGGTTGAGAGGCCTCCGCGCGAAAGTGCACGAAGCCGACTGGTGCCCCGTCTTGCCCCTGCGCGGCGGGCCGAAGGCGCGCCCCGCGAGACGAAGCGCGTGCCCGGAAACGCCAAGCCCCCGCCCGCCCGGCCTGTGTGCATGTGTGTCTGTGTGTGTGCGCACATACCCGGGGATGGTGAGGACAGTCTTCCCAGGCCGGCTGCGGCAACGGGTTCCACCTGGGGAGGGACCCCGCCCCGACAACCCTCTCACTTGTGGAATGTGATATCCCTCTAACATGCACCCGTCAAGCTCCGCTTCGGAGAATGGCAGCCACTCAAGGCTGGAAAGGGACGCCCGTCTCGCCGCGGGCCGAAAAAAAAAGGGGGCCGATGAGCCCAGCACTCATCAGGAACCCCCCACAGCCAGACTTGACACCCGGCCTGGCTGGGGCCAAGCACACGAGGGGTGCCAGTTCTCACAGACCAATGGCCGCACCTGCCTGCCGAGGTCCGGGGCCACGGGCGGGGCCGGCAGAGGACGGCGCAAATAGAGACGAAGTTGCTCTCGGGGGCGGCCCTTGGCTGGCGGCCGCATTGGCTCAGGCCCTTTCCTTCCCGCCCCCCCCTCCGCCCCCTCCCCCCACACTCCTCCCATATGCTCCGCCGGGCCACCGCAAGGGGAAATTGCTCGCGGCCCCGGTTGCCGAAACTGACGAATCGGGCCTCTCTGCCCGGATGTCCTCGGGTGTCTCAGTCGCATGGGTCCCCTCGGCTTGGTTTGAAGGTCCTCTGGCACCCCCCCCCCCCGTCCCCGCCGCCGGGTCCCCTCCTTTACCTCCGATCGTGTCCCGGCCTCGCCGCGTCCCCGGCGTTTCTCTTCGCCTTCGCCCCCCTCCACGGGGCGTCGCCATCTGACAGGGCATATGATTGTGGGACCGAGAGGAAAACAGGGCATGTGCCACTTCCATCCGAGAGGTCTCAAACATATCGGCCCCCACGCCGCCCCCTCCCGGAAGTCGGGCCCGCGCGAGCAGGGGTGCCGGGCCGGGGGTGGCACACCGGGGCCGCGGACGGGCACCGAAAACGCCCGGGGCCTAGCCCACGGGGCGGGGCCTCGCCCTCAATCGCGGCGGCGACCGGGCGTGATACCCGCCGGGCGTGATGCGGCATGATCGCACAGCCCCACAGTTGGCACTCCGGCCCCTTCACTTGATCGGCTCATCGGTGTCCATCCTCCCCGGGGCGCAGGGCCGCGCACCGTGGCCTTAGACATCCCTCTTCCCCCCTCCCGGCCGCCTTTCCTTCTTCGCCTTCCTCCTTCTCTCCCTCTGTCTCCTTCTCCCGCTGTCCCTGTTTTTACCTCCGCCATGTGGAAGCCCGGTTCCCTGGCCCCAGACGCCCCGGAGCCCGGCAACCCCCCTCCTGCCAGTCGAGTCCCGACCACGGCCCCGCCTGTCTCGCCGGAGGTCGTCTCCCCGGACCACTCCTATGTGGTGTCGCGTTACAGTGCGTCTCTCACGGTGGCCTGCCGTCTGCATTTCGCTGGGCACCCTGCCGCCCTCACTTCCCGCCATGCTGACATATCCCAATCGCTCCCTCGCCCAGAGACACAGCTCTTGGCTCGACTTGCCGGCCACCGAGTTGTGGCCCTCTTTGCATCCGGCCTTGAGCCGCCGCCTTGCGCGGTCGTCCGGCCGGCCGCCGGGATTCAGCGGCCAGCCCAGGCATTCGGCGGCGAGCCTGCCCCCGTCGGGCTCGGTAGCTCCGTCGGCTCGCCGCAGCTCCTATGGGCCGATGGCTTCGGCCTGGACTCTCGTGCGCCCCCTCGGCCGTCTCCGGCACTTGGCCGGTCAAACATCCCCCCGCCCCCCTCCCCCCCGTCCCTGCTCTCCACTCTCACTGACGACATCTCCTTCGCCCCCCCCCCCCCCCCCCCTCGACGTAGAGATCCCCCAGATCCTGGATGACAGCGGTTGGACCGCAAATGGGAAGGCCATTGGATATGTCGTGGTGCGTGTTTGTCTGGCCATTCCTTTGGCCTTTCCGGCCCCCGGGCTCATGCCCCTTTTGCGCATTCCAGCTGACAGCAGTGATCCACCCAGTCGACGAGTGTCGACGCGCAGCACCTTGCCCACCGCGCGGCCATCGAGCGGGGCCGCGAACGGCCGGATTATGCCTGGGTGCGTGCTTGTGACCGGCCCCCTCCCCGGCTCCTCCCTGCTCGAGTTGCGCCTCCTGCGTCTCTGCCCACCTGGGCCCATGGCCACTGATATGCTTCACCCCTCCCCTCTTCTTGTGCATCTGCCTCTCTTCGTCAGGTTGGCTCGCTTCCCTCCAAGGATCTGCTCTTCCAGGATACGCCAGCGCGCGTAGTTTACCTCAGCGCATCGGCCATGGTGGCTGAGCTGCTGCGAGTGCGTGCTGCTATTGCTGTTGCGGTGACGATCTTCGGCATTTGATCGTCAAAAGTCCTGCCTCCTGCTTGTGCTTTACTTATGCCTGCACCCTCCCCCCCCCCCCCCCCCGCCCACACCCCGCCCTGCAGGACCCTCTGGCTTCGCGTTTCTCGGTCATCCTGGTGGATTTCGGCCACTCGCTCAGCAATGCACCCCTGGGCATGGGGGACACAAGTCCCTTCCCCTCGACGGCCCCCCTGTCGATGGGTCTCGTGGCATCACTGCTCCGGAAGTGCGTCTCCTCCTCCATGCTTCCTTCCTGCTGACATCCGGCCCTAATCCACGATCCGTGCTTGGTTGCTTGGGGCGCCAGACTATCCAAGTCCCCGATGCGCGACGACCTTCGTCTCGTGCCAATTTTCCGCCTCGGCCAAGAGACCCTCTGCCAAGGGGCAAATCCCACGCGTCGGGAATGGACCGCTGATCAGGCCCGCCTTGACGCCGGCCTCCGTCGCCTGTCGATCGCCATCGAGCGGTACTTCGCCCCGGCCGCCCCTTCCACTGAGGGTCCGGAGCCTGCCGCATATGCCGAGCTCCTGCTGGACAGTGGCCTCTCCTCGGGTCCAGGTACTTATGGATCTGTCCTCCTGCCGGGCCTGCCAGCACGCATATCCCTGCTCGCCAGTTGGCCTGACCCCCCCCCCCCCACCCTCCCCTCCCTCGTGACCCCAAGCCCCCCTTGTGACCGTGTCCCCGCCGGACAATGTCCTCCGGTCGGTGTGCTCGCTGAGTCCCGAGCAAGGTGCGCCAGCTGTGCTGGGCGCCTTGCGTGCTGCCGCTTCAGCGGCCCTCCTTCTATCCGAGAGCACATCGCTGCTGGAGACAGCGCTGGCTGGGGCACATCCACAAGTGTTGGCTGGTCGCCGGCGCTTCAATGTGGCCCTGGTCCAGTGTCCCTGCTCTTCGGCCATGAACACGGCAGCCGAGCGCCTTGGGCGGTTCTTTTCCTCGTACGCGCTTCCCCCGCCCTTCTCCTCCTCCTCGGCCAGCGTGGGCCCCCAAGGCCATGCTTGTCCCCCCCCACCCCCCTGACTTAATGTTCCACAGATCCACAGGCTTCGCCGATTTCAGTGTTGTGTCCACACTTGACACGGACCGGGTACGCTCCCCAGCTTGCCCTCCACCTCGCTCTCGCTCTCGCTCTCTCGCTCTCTCGCTCTCTCGCTCTCTCGCTCTCTCGCTCTCTCTCTCTCTCTCTCTCTCCCCCCTCCTTCCCCACCTTTCGACCCTGACCTCTTGCTGTTCCCCTCCTGCCTACACACACACACACACACGACTCCCACCCCAAGCGTCTGCCACGCTTTCGTAGCGGCCGGAAGCTGATCATCCTCGCGGCCGAGCCAGCCCTGGCCACCAACCCGGCCGACCCGATCCCCGTGCACCCGTCCTTCCGCCATGCTGTCATCCGGACATTGGAGGGGCTTGTTACGGCCGGCTGGCCGGCGGCCGGGCACTACCGACGCATGGGTGCCGGGCAGCGAGCCCTGGCCCGTGTGGACCTCCTGGTGGACAGCTGTGTCTTCAGTGCGACGCTCTTTTCCCCGGGGCTCGGGCGCGATGTCACTGTCCCGTCAGTGGTATCCGGCCCCGTGGCCGGTGCCCCGACTACCACGCCAGAATGCCCCCTCCCGACGGCACACTTCCTGGCCCTGCTGCCGCTTCTCCTGTCCTTGGACTTGCGCTTGGCGGTGCTGTGTCCGCCGCTGACCCTGGACGGACTCACTCTGGTCGGCCATCCCCCGGGCACCAGTGCCGCGCTGACCAATGCTGCTACCACACTCATCGCCATTGGTGCGCGCGACCTCGGCCGATATGCCGCGCCCCCGGTCGGTATCCACACGACCACCAGTCGCCCACTGTTGAGCGGCTGGGAGGCGGTTCGCGCGATCGAGGTACTCCCCCTCCCCCTGCCTTGACCTTCCTCCAACCGCCCGCTGACGCGTCGGCGCCTCTCTCTCTCTCTCTCTCTCCCCCCCCCCCCTTCCTTCCGGAAGAATGTGGCGGCTCTTGGCCTGGTGGACCCTCAAACGGGCCGGCCCCTGGCCACCCTCGGCGCGTCGACTCTTCCTTCTTCCGTGGTTCGGCTTTGCACCTGGCTCTGCTGGTCACTGGGCCTGCGCGATGGTGTGGCCGATGCCGTATCGGTATGTTGCCTTCGTTTTCCGGCCTCGCCACCCTCCCGGCTGTGCAGCCGGCATGCTTCATGCCTTTCGATCGTGCATTACGTTTTCCCTGACCGACTCCCCTGCAGCTCCTGCATGCCCAGTCGACCGACGTCCTGGAGGGTGCTGCCGCCACCCTGGCCGTGCTTCGACAGGGCGGCCTTGCTGTACGTGCCCTGCTCGCTGTCCCGCTGCCTGACATCGCCACGGGCACTTGCTAATCCCACCACCCCTGGATGCGTCCTTCGGCTCTCTAGAATTTGCTCCAGCCCGCCAGCCCCAAGGCGCAGGAGGAGCTCCTGACCGATCACGGCTGGGCCAGCGCCGAGGGCGATGCCGTCACCGCTTGGAATGGTACACTTTCGCCGCCCGGCCACTTGCCGGCTCTCCCCCATGGCGCGAAAAGGCCCTCGCCACCATGTCTAACCCCCCTTACTCCGCGCGTTCTGCGACCAGTCATCCGTGCATTCGACTTTGCCATGACCTTCCGCAATCCGGCCCTCTCCGAGTATGAGTATGCCCGATCCTGGGCCCATGACCACCGGCTGAAGCTCCCGCCCCTGCTTCAGGCATACAAGTACACCCGAGCCTTGATCACCAGCGTCCGAGCATGGTACACCCCTCTCCCCCCCCCCCCCCTCGGCCCCTTTTCTGTGTCCCCTTTCCTGACCCAAGCTGTCAGTCTGCCCGGATCGGCGGCCGATTCCCCTCTCTTCGCCGACAGCCATGCCCTCCCGGCTGACGGCCCCTCACGACTGATCCGGGCTCTGCTGGCCGGCCGGCCGCGCGCCGTCTGTGCCCTGGCTCCGGTGCCCAGCGGGCTCTATTCCCTGTCCAGTGGGGCCGCTCTGAGGCCGCATTACGGGCACTACGCCCGGGCGGCCGGGTTCGCCGGGCCCGGCGACGCGATCAGCGCCCTTTGTGCTCCTGCCTTCTCGGCGGCCGATACCCTCCGGCCGAATGAGCTCTTCACAATCCACACATCCAGTGTCCTGCACCGCTACGCCCCGAATGTTGTTCTCTACATGGATGGTGCGCCCCACGCCATGGCCCTGCATCTACCAGCTCCCGCCAGATCCCTTCCTTTACGTCGCTGCAGACGCTGCTGCCCTGCTGCTGCCCTGCTGTTGCTCTGCTGTTGCTCTGCCCTAACCCCCTCGACTCTACTCCCAGTCGATAACTCCACACTTCCGGAAGCTCCAGCCGGCCTGCGCTTTGTCTCGGTCATCAGCCCCAAGTGGCTCCCTTCGACTGCGTACGCCCCGATGCTCTGCCTCAGGTTGCTGATTCCATGTGCCCCCCCCCCCCCCCCCCTCCCCGCCCTGCGCTCCGTCCACACTCACCATGCTCACCCACAATCCCAGCCGGACGGTTTACTCCTCTTAATTGGGCCGCACCAGGCTCACGTGTACACCAGAACCCGGTTCTACACCCGAACACATGCCAACCGCCACAGCTACCAACGCATGTACCGCATGCGCCACAAGGCCCTGGGCTGGGCGGCCGGGGCGTGCGTGCGCATGCCCCTTCCCTTCCGCTTGCCCCGCCGCCGAGGGGGGGGGGGCGGGGGCGGCCCCCCTGCGGGGCCCGTGCGGGCCCAATTCCTCGTGTCCCCTCGCTGGCCCGCTCGTCTCTTCCCCGCTTTCTCTCGCAAGTGCCCGGGGGAAGAGCCCCCGAAGGCGGCCCGGGTCGCAGATCGCCCCTTTTTCGCCAGCCCCTGCAATAGACTTCCCGCTTGTTCGCCACCCGTGCTCCCTCCTCCCCCTCCCCCCCCCCCCTCCTCCTTCTGCCCGTCTCCTCCCCTTTCGCACGTGCCCCCGCCATGTTCTCCTTGAAATCCACCGCACCGTATGTCCTGATCTCCTCCTCCCACTTCGCCCTCTGCTCTCTCTTTTTCTCTCTCTTTCTCTCGCCTCCCTCTGTATATATCGCTTTGCTTCGTGCTTTCTCTCTCTGTCCCCCCCCCCCCCCCCTCGCCCACACACTGTCGCTCACGCGTGCACACCTTGCCCCGGCCCGCCTCCCAGCGACCCGACGAAGCTGCCGGCTGGGTTTTCTCCCACCCCTGCGTCCTGCTTGTCGGCCGCCACCGATGACCAGAAGTGGCTGCTGTCGAATGTCCTCCCGCGGGTTAACAACGGCGAGGCGGAGGTCTGGCTGATGCGTCTCCCCCGGGAGCTGGATGTCCAGCACCTGGAGGGGATCAAGCTGCGTATCGATGATGCGCCGGACGCGCCGTCCGGCCCGGCGGCCCCCCTTGGCTCGATCCAGGCCCTCCACGACGAAGAGGAGACCACGGAGGGCGACACCGCGTCGGCCGGCACCCTTGTGGATTACACCGTCACCCAGACCTCGGCTGCGGATGGCTGGGAAATTGACTCCCTGGACTTGCTTCTGCCGAAGCTGGTGGATTCGCCGTCCGGCGCGGCGGCCGACTCGTCGCTCATGTTTGTCAAGGGGATCAAGCCGACCCGGCACATTGTCATCGCTCGCCGTCCCGGGGACCAATCCAAGACTCGCGCCGATGCCGAAGGCCTCCGCCGGGACTTCCCCCACGAGGCCACCAACGCGCCGTACCTGCAGCTGGCCGATATGCACGGCAAGTTCCTGCCTGCCGGGGCCATCATCACCGAGGAGGCCATCCAGCAGCTGGCCGATGCCAAGAAGCGCCAGGCCGAGAGCAGCGCCCCTGCCACCTCCGACTGTACGTCAGTCCTCGCTCACATGGACCCGTTTGCCCGGGCCT